AGCTCTGCCCTTGCTACTCCCTTATAGTAACTAGCGGTTATCCTAAGCGAATTGTAAATACTACACTAGTGGGGGTAGATCAATGACTACTGGACTCGATGGCCTCCTCGACATTAGACAGAAAAATGATATGCTAAATGAAAGTTAGCCTATTACGATCTCCTTCACGCTAAGGGTATCTAGACGTCTTTTATCAACAAAGATGTTGTCTCCCCGCTTTCACGAATTGGGTATTCCTAGTCAAATTTCATTTCATTTTCCCCGTATTTTTGTCATCAATTACTTTTCCCTTCAACATTCTAATTTCAATCGTGCAACTTGCATCAAACCCCGCGTTTTTCGTCTAAATGCATTTTCCCTTCCTAAGTGACATCTCAATAGTCCCACTTTCATGAAACCCCCGTCAGAAAGAGGTATGAAGTGACTCGACTGAGAAGTTGAGGAAAGGAACGAAGGTAATCGGCTTACTCAAGAGTTCTTGCTTCTAGACCTGAAAAGAGCTTATTCGATTCTGTCTGTGGCATTTGAAAACAGCTTATTCATGCCATCTCTTGCTAACAAGCCCTTCTATTCCTCAAGTCCCTATGGAAGTTCCTTGTCCTCTTCTTGGCATCTTCCTTTATTATGTTTCATGTCCGCAAATCGTATTCATGTCCGACCTCCCTCTCTGTTGGCGAATCGACTTCAGCTCCTATACTTCTTTCTTTAGGGCCGTCTAACAAGTCTTAAGTTCTTTCTTTGAAAATATCTTCGGCTCCTTTCTTTTGAAGCGGAGAAAGGGTGAAAGCTAAGAAGAACTTTATCTCCATAACTTCCTTGGCAAATTGAAACTCATGCCTTTCCTTAATCAGTTACTTGCCCCCTTCTCCTACTATTGATTCAATTCCAAAGATGGAGGAAGTCTTACCCAGCGTCGAAGTGAAGTTCCTTGTCTCAGCATCCTTCTTCCTAGCAGCCTATGATAGTGTCAAAAAGGCATTTGCAAGGTCTTTCCACTTACGAATTCCTGCTATTCAAAGCAGAAAAAAAGAAATGGATAATCGACTTATTCTCTTTTTTATTAGTAAAAAGTCTCATCTCCAACTGAATGATCGGCTAATAGAATAAGGGAATGGTCCCAGATCCGGATACACTACTCCTCCGACTGCAGACGAAGATCGAGTTCGAATGGAAAGTTTCCAAGGCGGGAAGACATCAACCGAGGAAGCAATCGAAGACTTCGAAGATAAGAGAGAAGTTCCACGAATCACCAGTCCCGCCATATAAGAGCAATTCGAGGAGAAGCGAGTAGATGAAATGAATTCCTTGGACCAAGTAGAGCTTGTTTCGGGGCCAGTCACCCAGAATAATTTGACAGGATCTGGTTTACCCTTTCCTTTGCTTCGAATCAATCCTATCATCAGTAGTGGCCTAATGCCCGTCTTCGAGGCAAGCGAATCGAATAAATCGTATCAATCGGACTGCTTTTCTTTTAGGTGAGAAAGGCACTCTCACGGCTTGGTTCTACCTTCCTTCGTGAATGTAATTGAAGTGGAGGATAATTGCCCGGATTAGACACCAAGATTGTGGTGCAAAGTTGCCAGTCATGCCAGAATTCTCACCAGTAAAGAAAAAACTCCGATCGTCCAGAATGGAGTCTAAAAGTGAAGGAATCGTCGTCAGCACTTATCCAATCTACGGTGCCCAAGAAAGATGGCGGTTGGACTACCGAGACCTAAATCGGGCCAGTCCCAAAGACAATTTCCCCTTGCCACACATCGACATTCTGGTCGACAACGTCGCGGGCATGGATGGATTCTCAGGATACAACAAAAGTTTGCTTGATGAAGAAGATCGAGAAAAGACAGCGTTCACTACACCATTAAAATAGGATATTTAATTTCCAGCTCTCATTTCTTTCTTGTTTGGTTCCTATCACTACGGGACTGGGGGCATGCCCTTTGGACTCAAGAATGCTGGGGCAACCTACCAAAGGGCCATGATCACGCTCTTCCATGACATGGTACACTTTGAGATGGAAGTTTATGTAGATGATATGATTGTCAAATCTCGAAAGAACGAAGACCATCTGGTGAATCTTGCAAGAGTTTTTAACCGACTCAGGAAAGACAAGCGTAGGCTTAACCGAGCTTAGAATTAGGCTTTGGACTTACTTCAGGCAAGCTTCTGGGCTTCATAGTAAGCAGACGAGGAATTGAGATCGATCCAGCAAAGATCAAAGCAATTGTAGAGATGCCTCCTCCCAAGAATCTCAGGCAAGTCCAATCATTCTTTGGACGGCTCAACTACATCAGCAGATTCATCGCCCAGCTCACTCATACCTGCGAACCTCTCTTCAAGCTGCTACGCAAGAATACATCCATGGAATGGATTCCAGAATGTGATGATCCAAAAAAAAGAGAAAGAAAGATCTTCTACCTCCTTACTTTCCGTGGATTAGCTAGCCGCCTTACTTAGTGAAAGTGTCTCCGACTCAACCAATACAATTGGCGGGTCTTCTTCAGTCCGCTTGGAAAGCTATATTATATCTTCAACCAAAGTACCCAGCGCTTTAATTTTAATTGGAGCTCTCCCACCTGCCAGGGCGATGGAATACTGATAAAGAGTCCAAGGGCTCAAGAGACTCATCCGCGATAGAAGGCATAGAAATTGTTGACTCGAGTGGATAGCTTGGCTGTGATGTGAAGTTGGTTCATTCCAGTTCCTTTAAGAGAATGCCTCGAAGACAAGCGCTTTAGTAATTAGTAAGATGGATGAGATGACAAGGTCGATGCAGAGAAGGTCGGGAGGAAATTTAAGAAAAAGAACCTTTATGGCGAAAGGTGCCAATTCATTCCATGCCAGTGGTGTTACCCTTTCCTTTCAGTTTCCAAGCAGCAAGGAGCCTTTAGAGTCGAGGAAACCGAGATTAAAGGTCGGAATAACTTTACACAGTTTTTCGAAGATGAAAACGGAACCCTTTTGCTATTATAGCCGCCCTTCCTTTCCTTGATTTGGTTTAGCCTCCTTGCAAAGACCCAGTGCCTTATTCTATTTATCATTTTCTTTTTGCGGAAAGTGGCACCCATTTCGTGTCTGATTCGATGCCCTATTCTTCTAAGAAGTTTCTTCTTTCTTCTCCCTTAAGCTTGCATTCTCTTCTTCTTCCTTTTGGAAGAGTCCAGACCAGTGGACATTCTCGCTACCCCCACTACTGCAACAAGGGAAGGTGCGGAGCGAGAAGGGCATAGAAAAAAGGCGACAGTTTGGGAAAGGGTCACCTAATTGGGAAGGTCCCTATCTGGTGCTCGGTTCCTCGGAGCTTCTGAACTGCCATAAACCGTTCGCTATCAGCTTGTCTGAGCAACGCGTTGAGCATGAGGTTGGTGAGACCACGAGACGGTTTCTTTCTTGTTCCCGAGAAAAAGGGGATCCCAATTGGTATCGGTTAGGTTGACGATAGATAGAGACCGGCGTCAAGCATTCGTTGAATCTCTTTTTCCCCTTCTTTACATACAAGCTCAGCATCCTTTTGGTTCATTCGTCTAGGCCTTTGTGGCGCCTGACCTCCATTTCTAATTGAAAAGGGTCTCTTTTCAGATCCTGGTATGTCCACGCGAGCACATCTTTTTACTCTTCTCTTGGCTTGTTCAAGAAGTTATCCCCTCCAACCTGCGCCTATCGCAAGGACCTGCGGTGCTTCCTCGGTGCCGAGAATTGTCTGTATTCTTTCTTGCTTTTTTTTTACAGGCTCATCGCCTGCCTCTTTGGTGTGAGCCGGAGTTAGACATAACTCCCCTTCGACTAGTTTCTTAAAATGCTCCGGGACTTTCGCTTCATTTTCTTTTTCTGGTGCCTCCTTAGTACTACTCGTCTCCCCCCTTCCTTTAGGCATTACTACCCTGCTGTGCTCGTAATCAGCTGAAACCATATACAATTGGAATTGAATTAGAAGGCTTTCGAAGCCATACTTTTCAACAAACTGGGCGCTTTGCCTTCGTCGCCCATTCTGCGTAGGCGGCCTCTGGCCCTGACTTCGATCTACCGCCTCTTCCTTAGTCTTTGATTGATCAGGCCCTTTTTTAGGCCTCTCCGTGTTATCCTCTAACGGGGAACAAGTCCATTCCGGTCCAACTAGGTGGGCTGCGTCAAAGTATATCGTAAGTATAAATGAACTTCTCTACCCGCTCGAGCATTCGGATACTTGATCTGCACAATCAAAAAACAGGACTACCTTTTTGTTTATCATAGGAAGACCGTCTTATGCAATCCTCACCTCTTCGGTACTGCTTGCCTTAATGCGCGATTTGTCTTACACCTATCACGGCTTACCGCTACCATGAATACCCCACCACGCTGACTTGCTTTTTCTTGCTTACCTCCCATTAGCTAGAAGTCATCCCCGTCCTGCAGCTTCACCCCCAGTGACCCCCATGCAACAGTGCGTCAGGTTCATTTTGGTCGGGAGTGAAGTGCCCTTTTGACTGGAGCCATGGACTCTTACTTGGCTTAATTAGGCCCTTCTTCAAGAAATCACCCACTTATTCCTGATTCAACCTTCTTAGATCTTCGGGCATCTAAACTCTTGATTTAGTTGGGATGCTTTTTTTCGTCGAAACCCGTGCGATAAGGTTGCCGAAGTGCTTCCCACGTGTGACGTTCTCAAAAAGCCAAAGGGGTAAGAGAACAGACCGTCTTTTCAAAACTCTCGCGGACTTTCTTTCTTCTATTTTCGCCTTAAGACTAAGACGAGGCGACCAACGGGAGAAGTGGGCAGCTTCTCAGTAATTCTCAGCCTTGGGATTTCGGCCTTGATGCTGGATATCTTACACGATGTTGAAGTAGTTCAACACATTGTTGTACGCAGAACAGATTGTGGCACTACCCGAGGATTTCTGTGAGTCCTCAAAATAGGACGCTGCCGGAAAGAGTTCGCTTAAGACTGATAAAGGGGGGCAGATGTTTACTACGACTGATTGAAGACACTAACGACTGCATTTGTGATTCAATTAGCTCCTTCAGTCCTTGTCAACTTTCTCAAATGTATTAGTTGGATCCATTAGGTTCTTCGATTTGTTCAGAAAAGAAACGAGAGACAAGAAAACATCTTTGATTACGATTAAAAGGAACAATCTCAAATAGACCAAGATCAAATTTCGGGTCATTTCTTGGTGAACATGATCTGCCATAATCTCTTCGATCCCTTCATTTATGTGCCAGAATACAGAGAGATTTGGTAGGAAAGTGGAAGAGACTTTTTTGTATATGATAATCAAAGGGAGTAGGAAAGCTGCAGTCATTCTTTGGAAAAGCCCGGTTCTCTTTGTCTTCGAGCTTTCATTCCTCAATCCACTGATTCGTTCCTTCATATACCTCCCCACCAATAGATAGAGACAAATAGGAATAACCAAACCACGTCTACAAAATGCCAGTACCATGCAGCTGCTTCAAAGCCAACGTGATGCTCCTTCGTCAGATGACCAAGATATTGCCGAATACCACATATAATCAAGAAAAGAGTACCTATAATCACATGAAAACCATGAAAGCCTGTTGCTAAGAAAAAGGTAGAACCATAAATACTATCCGAAATAGTGAAGGGTGCTTGATAATATTCCATTCCTTGAAAGCCAGTAAATACTAGAGCCAGTAAAACGGTAGCTACTAAAGCATAAACTGCTCGTTTTTCCTTCCCCGCGAGTATAGCATGATGAGCCCAAGTTACGGCAGCTCCGGATGAAGGGAGAATAGGGGTATTAAGAAAAGGGATTTCCCAAGGATCTAAAACCCCAATCCCTTTTGGGGGCCAAATACCTCCGATCTCTACCGCAGGTGCCAAAGAAGAATGAGAAGAAGCCCAAAAAAAAGCAAAAAAGAACATAACCTCCGATACGATGAACAGAATAGAACCATATCGAGGTCCTAATTGTACGACTTTGGTATGATGTCCTTCCAACGTGGATTCACGTAGAACATCGCGCCACCATACGAACATGGTATATAGGAGAAATATGAGGCCCAAACTTAGAAGTCTTGCACCCCCTTGAAATGGGTGCATGTACATCACACCTCCTACGGTGGTTGCCAAAGCTCCGAGTGAACCCGAAATAGGCCATGGACTTGGATCTACCAAATGATAAGAATGCCTCTGAGATTCAATCATAAACCACTTTGTCTCGGTTGTATGTAAACCCCCACCCTTCACCCCCACCCCCTAAAGTAGTAAAGAAGGGCTCTTTGGGGTCACATTTTCTTTCTATCTGACAGGACAAACAAATAGGAAGGGATGGTTCTTTCATTGCATTGATAGAAGAAGAACTAGAAAAAGATCTCTTTATTACTTTGAGAAGAGAATCGTTGGTTTGACCGACGAACTACGTGGGAAAATGGATCTTCTTTCTTTGATTTTCAGCAAGATTTTTGGAAAGTAACAATTCCATTCAGTTCGCTTTCGGAAAACTTGCTGGTCGCGGATTAGTTCGTTCTGCGCCGCCAGCGACCTAAAATCAAAGGCGCAGGTTGATCTCTCTGGTTGAGGCTGCATTCATTTATGAAACTTGACACGTGGGAAGGGCTTACTCTCCTAGTGGCTCGGCTTGGTCTCGCTCCCTTCCCGCACTATTCCTCCCCACTAAACTAAAAAGAGCGATTGAGAATCTCGAGAACCTCTGTCTTCGCGGGGCGATTGGAAAAGGAGTATCTTTTTCTTGTAGTGCCCTCCATTCCACTATTCTGATCGAGAAAAATGCTCTTCCGAACGACCAAGTCATAATTCGATTAAAAAACGATGCTTCCTTGGCCATGTACAACATGGATTAGCATTATGTCATTCCTACAATTCCTACAAGTGATCCACCTTCCAGTATTTGAAGGAGAGGACTTCGATATATTATATAATATGTTTCTTTCCATTCCTCGTGAGCCACTTATTTCTCCGAAACAAGAGATCAAAGTGATTTTCCTCCTTTTTCCCAATAAGTCGACGGCCTTACACCATTGGGATACTTCGAATAAACTAGCGTACATATAGGATACACCAGTGCTAAAACCTTTTCTCAAGAGATCTTCCAAACTGTTGGGGTCGTTGCGGGGCCTCAAATAATTGTTCTCCCGGTGTGAAAGCAGTTGGTTCCGTAGTTTTAGAATTCTGCTGATCCCAAGTACTCCATCTCCATCATTGCATATGAAAATATAGAAAGTAAAGAAGAAAAGGCATAACCAGAAGAATTGTGAAAAATAAGTGAATTTATCCAGTTGAGGCATTAGAGTCAGTAACAAACAAAAAAAGGATTTCCTACACTTAACTCCGCCTGCTTGTAGTGGGGGTAGTGAAGAACTATAGAGAGCTTTTGTTGGTTGTTGACCAACGGAAAGCATGGGAGAGCTTGAGCTAAGTCAAGCTTGGATCAAGTTTGGTTACCTAGAAAGATCACTCACTGCACACTTTCTATATCTATTTGGATTGTGAACAGTTACAGAACAGTTGGTGTTCTTTCTTGTCAGCCGTTGCGTTGGGGTACCACTCCTCTTCTCTTGTCCTTTGATGAAGAGGAACGGATCAGTAACTCAATCTAGACTCGTTTACAGATTCTATTCTTCCAAAGTACGATCTGATTTTAGCCTACCGGTGACCGGCTTCGCGAGACCATTTCGGTCCATACTGGAGAAGATGACCCCTCTCTCGGGCTAAGCTCTATTGGGCGGAGGTTCCTCGATCAACTATCTTACTAATAGAAGAAAGACAAGAAGTTAACTATACATACACAAACAATTATTTGTATATACACAATTATTTGTATATACACAATGTACGAAATATGGCCGTTAATCAAAACCTCTGAGATCACTCCTAAATGCAGAGAGAAAGAATTAGATTGCACTGGAATCTTTGAAAGAAAGAGTGTTCTTCATCGGAACGGAATTAGGTAACTAGAAGGGGATTTACCCTATCCTAACTGCTTCTACTCCGAAAAGGACTAGCTGCCCTTTTTCCGCATCAACAGAAAAAGGACTGGCATCTGTAAGAGCAAAAGCACTGACTACCGCTCATGCCCCCTAGCCAATTCAAACTCGGATCCGAAGGCTGATGGGTGATTCTCTATAAAGTATAATATGACATCATTTTTAGCTGTTGGGTACGAAAGCAGCGAAGGAAGAACACGTAACTAAAGCGCTCCAACCAAAGGGGCGACCGATCCATGACAGCCAGTAACAGACAGAAGAGAGAGAGCACAGATAGGGGAACCGCCCCCCTCCCTTCTGAAGAGTCATTGCTTAAGAAGGGACAGCTGTTGGTCCTTCGAACTGCTAAAGTGGTTAGTCTGCGATCCCCCTCATCTCCCGTAAGTGTGAAAGCACTGTCCGACCTTAACTTAAGACTTGTGTTATAGTAAGGGACATAGGTTGGGTTGGGTGATGAAAGTCCTTGTCATCAATAGCAATGACGAGTTGAGGTAATGTTCTCGAAAAGAAGGCGGCTTTGAGGAAATCGGCTCTGTGATAAAGGATCCCAAAATTGGTTGAAGGCCTACTACCTACTTAGTTCAGTATTCGAAATCTCTCTTCATGGGCGCTTAGGTTAGCTGGTCTTCTGGTCGAGTTTTCCCTCTGCTCTTCCTTTGGTTATATACCAACTCACCCACCTGGATCAGTGGATTCTCCTGATTCAGCGGATTCGGCTTCATATGAAGCGTCTGCGGATTACTAAGCCGTGGATCGAGATCTTAGGATCTAGCTAGATAATTATTACACCTTGGGGAAAGCCCATACGGCAGAACGAGACCCTTTCATAAGGAAAGAGTTCTAGTTGCTTTAAAAAGGATCTGGCGAAGAGCACCAGTGAGGTGAAGCACGAAACACTTTAAAGAGCTCACGCAGATTATGCCTACCTTGGCTACTGGTGAAGATGGAGTAAATTTACTTAACCAAAGCCATACCTGAGTGACTTAGGAAGCGGCTTTGTCTTAGCCTTTCTACCTTCTGCCCAAGCCAACAGCTCGATCCTTTCATGGAGGAATGGCTTCGTACCGTACTCGAGCTTTGGATCAATGTCCCACCCTCTGTCCTTAGGCTTGTAACGACAGCAACAGTTAACGATCTTTTGTGCTCCTTGCTCGGCCAGCCCTAAAAATCGGTTGGTTGCTGTTACTTGTTCAAATCGTTCTATTGGTTCGGAGAGTGCGCCACCTTGCTCTACTTGATGTTCGTATGCTTTCTTCTCTCTCCCACCCACTGAGGACGAAGTTAAACAGAGAAATTGGGGTGCCGAGGACAATCCGCGAACCCACGTTCATCAAGTGCTTCGCTGACATAAGTTGAGGCCGAAGAACTCTCATCCGATCCGCTTTCTCAAGGAATACATAGACGTCTTCGCTTGAAGTTATGACCAGAGGACTCGACCCGCCAAGCTTATTAAGCTTAGTAGTTGTGTAGGCGGAATAAACGAAAATAAATAGCATAGTGAAATAAAGTTCTCGAATTTAATTTGGTGGCAAATTCATGTACCATGTAAAGGCTGATTTAGTCAAGGAGTTGGCAAACAACCTCAACTTCAAATAGTCATCAGCCCCTGCTTCTCCACATTGCACTGTGAATCGGGCAATGTCTTCGATGGTCGATTTGTTTTCCTCTCCTGAGATAAGCACAAATTCACGCACCTTATACCCCCAAGGGCCTGACATCAATTCCAACTTGCGGGAGAGCCTAAATTACCTGATTCCTTTCCAGAATCACTGGTGCTGGCGCTGGAACAGGAACTGGTTCCGGGGCGAGTCGGTCTAGTCTTTGATACTCCATTCCCCTTTCCTGCATCGGCCAAACCATTCCTTGTCCTTCGCCTCCAAGTTGATTAGGATACTGGCCGATAGGAAGGTATCCGGTTTGGTTTGGAACTCTGGCTTTTGTCGACATTAATTGGTGCCTCAGCTTTGTTTTTTTCCTCATGATATGAACGTTCCCATACTGCAAGTCGGGTTTAGGTGGAGGGGGTAGAATGTCATAAACCTTAATGGTCTTGCCTTTGTCCTGCGATGGAGGTCGGACTTCCATTAAACCCACTAGCTTCTCGACTTACTTTCCGACCGACTCCATAGATCTTTGGTTATCCGAAAGCACGGGTTTGAGGACAGTAGCCATTTGTTGGATCATAGCCTGCAGCAACTCATGATTGGATTCCTCAATCTTTCGTCTGAAAGCAGCGGAGCGGGATCGTCGCTGTTGAGCCTGATGGTTGCAGCGGCAAACGGATTTACTTCTGTGGCCGTGCGTGAAGATCCATCAGAAGTATCCTCATCCCCGACCGTTGGGAGGGTAGGCTCCTCGGCCTCGGGAAGTGGAACTCCCATGGGTGGTGCTGCGGGCGTAGCGATCTAAAACCTATTCTTAGCATCGAAGAGGGAATGAATTGAGACTACCACACACCAATCCCAGGAAAGTCAATCGTATTCTATTTAGAAAAGGAATTTTCAACTCCTGCAAAGAGTCATTCTGTCTTGATGACAACTAGATTGCTAAATCCTCCTCTTCTTGCCTCAGTCCAAGAGTGTGGTTCTTTCGCCCTTTAGGTAGGCGGAATTGGCGTCCGTATCCCTCATTCCATAGATGGCAGAAGTCTTTGTTTGTATGCGGGTGGGAAATCCATCCGTTGTGCCTTTTGTAAAGAGCTTCCCTCCTAATTCAGTTGATGAACTTTATCCCTGCGGATAGAACTCCCTTTTAATCTACTGCATACTCCCTGTAGGGACTCTTTTTTTGATGATGTCATGAGAGTTTGTCCCGATCCATCCTCTTCGTGGTCTACATGAGTGTGTCGCCTTTATAAAATAAATAAATCTTTGGAAAGAGGTGCTCATTTATCATGCCATTAAACTCTGCTCTTTCTCGTCAACCTATAACCAAGTAAGCTTCATTCCAGCCTACTTCTTGACCAAAGCTCTATTTACCCTCGGTTCAACTAACTTTCTTGCTTTCTCTCAGTTTATCCTTCCTGCTCTTCACCTTCTTTAAGAAAGGAAGTTTCCTAGATGACTGAATCATGCCTTTCTCCTTTGATCCCAAAGCTTAATGCCTTTTGATGATCCTTCTATAGGTCAAGGAAGCAAGGATGGCAGTACCAATTAAAAATCGAGTTTCATATCCTCCCATTGCAAATGGGGATGCATGGCCGCCATTATATAGTCCAATTCCAGTGCCTGTTAGAGATCCGGTTTACCGAGTCGTTTTTTTTTTTGATCCAGTCCCCCGACAGTTCGATAGCCGCTTCCGCTTCAGGCCCCGTAACCTGTTTTCATAATGAAACCGCATAGGCATCTGTCTTTCTTAGAGCAAAAGCGGGATAGTTAGTTATAGACGTCCAGTCCCCGATCCCGTTGACTGAGGACCAAGGCAAGCAGGGGAATAGATTGAAGAGGCAGCAGGCAATGGGAATCAAACAAATCCCATCGCTCCAACCAACACATTTATAAGCTAAACCTCATGTTTTGCCGGATGACAGGACGGGAAAGGGTAGCAGATCCTTTCTTCGGAGGGAGTCTCTATATCCATTTCCAGATCCATAAAAGAATTCTCCAGTTGCATATATACTTCCATTGCCGGGAGCATACCTCCGGATTTTGGGGCCTGGGGATCACCATTAGCATTAGCGCGGGCGCCGGTCGCAGGAGCAAAGCAATAAAAGGTATAGACGGCGGGAAAAGCATCAGAGGCAGACTGGGTCCGTGCGTGAGTATGTTAGGCAGTTTCAGTCATTGATGCTGAAGATAGGGAACATGGCAGAAGAAGACAAAGGTGTTTAGGTTTGAGATGGGTCTCCAGGAGTGGGCACGGAAAGAGCTGCAAAAACGAAATCTGCAGGACCTGGCCTTAGCAATTCGAGTAGCAAAAGGCTTGATGGACTATGTAGAAAGTTCGTCAACCACCAAATATGAGAAAACTTCTAAGGAAACCCTTGGTCCTATGGAAAAGAGAAGTATGGGCCGGTGGGTGGGGAAAGGCAAGGAAAAGCTATGGGTAAGGTAGGAAGGAGCTTACGGCCTGTGATTAATTAATTATGTTAAATGCGCGGCGTATATCGCGCTTCGTCGTTACGATAAGGGGAACTATAATCTTCAAAAACCGGGTCGCAGGATCGGTTCACTGAACTGAACACAAAGTAAATCGAAAGCTTGAGTTCTTCATTCGGAACCAAAACTCGAAGAGCAGCGGCACGCGGATCAAAACCTGTCCTTCAAGCTGGGTCAGCTATAGTTGGTTAGTCGGATGCTGTAACCGAGTATTCCCGTCTATCGGAAGACCCTTATTTTTTTTATAGGATAATACGAAACTTTTCAACAAAGCTCGCATGTTGATAGAGGGAAGCTTCCACTTCGAGTGCACCCACCACACTCTACGCCTAAATTGAGCCTTGGGTGGAAAGGCCCTAGAACCTGTACTACCGCTTCATCCTCGAGGCGATCCCGGGCTGGATCAGTAAAATAGAGGTCGCATCAATATGCTTTACACATTGTATTCTTTCAAAAGATTCTCGTTTGAGCGTCCTTCACCGTCCCCGGAGCGGAAGGTCAAGTTAGCCTTGGTTGACGCGTGGTCTTCTAATCTCAAACACAAATCGATGATTGAGAATTGACATAAAGAGAGAGGATCATCCGATTGTTAGCTAGCCTTTCTATCATCACCTTTATCTATCTTTGTCTTCTGGTCCGCGAGGCACCTAGCTCCTCTTAAACTAGGTTTTAAGCAAGCAGGCCTGTCTTTCGGGTTTCCTCGCGGAGTTATGCTGACTTAAACACGAATGGTCCCTCGTAAGATAGGTGCGCTTGTGGATATAGCCGGATCAGTATGACCCCCCGCGGACTCCCTGACTACCGTTTGCGTTGAGAGCGAGGCACGATAGCGAAGATCAATCCATCTCAATCTACAAAAAGCATTGCCTTGGGCATGCAACCCAAAAAGATAGAAAGACCGCCCGCTCGAAGAAAACTCTTTTAGAGCCTGGTACAAGCCAAGCCCCCTCGATTCGACAACAAGAGTCGGTTATGGAATAGTCTTTTGGTCGGCTTTCTCGTTCTTGAGGATCCCCCAGAAAACCCTCTATCTCCAAGCCCCTTTACTAGGTTGGGCAAGCTTGGATGCCCTTACTCCCAACAAGTTGCTGGTCGGGATCGTGAAACTCTCGCTCGAAAAGTAAGCTGGTCCTTGTTTGGTCATAAGGATAATCGTTCTTATTAGGTCAGGGGCGGCCGGTCCGGGGGTTACCCGTGATTGGTAATGGCATAAGCAGAAGAGGGGTAGGGGGGACAAGGTTACGCGCTGGGTAGCGCAGCGCATCTGTTTCGGGACAGAGGCGACGAGGGCGAAGCAGGCCAGGTCAGGGTCGGGCCGGCCATAGGTTCGAATCCTGCCACCTTTCTTGTGGATCATCCTGTGGTTACCGGATGATGGGAATAACAAAGCAGAAATCTTGAAATGAGCACGAAATGTCAATATATGAATTCTTTCATTATTCGTTATTTCCGGGTCTTTTCGTTGCATTCACTTACAACAAGAAACAACCACCAGCGTTTGGTGCAGCACCTGCATTTTGGTGCATTCTTCTTTCTTTCCTTGGTCTTTCGTTCTGTCATATTCCTAATAACTTATCCAATTACAACGTATTAACCGCTAATGCACCTTTCTTTTATCAAATCTCAGGAACATGGTCTAATCATGAAGGTAGTATTTTATTATGGTGTCGGATCCCAAATTTTTATGGATTTTTTCTTTGTTACCGGGGTCGACCCCAAAGCCATAATGTCTTAAAACAAGGAGGCCATAGGGAAAGTCTTTTTTTTTTTTTTTTGTCTCGAACTTCGTGAAGAACTCAATTTTATCTCTCCCTCGTTACGAACAAGAAAGTGGTTTGAAAAACCAGTTGTACACTCCCTTCGTTCTACGAACCCTTGTTGATTCTGAACTTCGTTCGCGAAGGAACCGGACTTTTGACGGACCAGCCCTTTTTTATGCGCCGCTTTATCCTGAAAGGAAAATGAGCTTTGCTCCTCTGGACGCTTGGCGCTCCCGTGGTTCGCGAGAAGGAAAAAGGACTCATCCTTTGTTGGCATTCTTTGCTCTGGGCAGGAGCGCTAGTGGACACGGGGAGGGAGCAGGCGAAGCGTGTCGTTCGTAATGGAAAGAAAGAGACCACTACTTCGCCTCTTTGTTGGACCGCCGGCGCGAACACAGTGGTCTCTGATCAGGACCAGGAACCAATTCGAATTTGGATCTTGACATGTTGGTGGTTTTTAACCGTAGGCATCTTGCCAGGAAGTTGGTGGGCTTATCATGAATTAGGTCGGGGTGGCTGGTGGTTTCGGGATCCCGTAGAAAATGCTTCTTTTATGCCTCGGGTATTAGCCACAGCTCGTATTCATTCTGTAATTTTACCCCTTCTTCATTCTTGGACCTCGTTTCTTAATATTGTGACTTTTCCATGCTGTGTCTCAGGAACCTTTTCAATACGGTCCGGATTGCTAGCTCCCGTTCATAGTTTTGCTACAGATGATACACGAGGAATCTTTTTATGGTGGTTCTTCCTTCTAATGACCGGCATATCTATGATTCTTTTCTACCAGATGAAGCAGCAGGCATCGGTCCGTAGAACGTATAAAAAAGAGATGGTTGTGGCGCGAAGTACTCTTGTGCATCTACGTCACTCGGCTCGCGCGCAACCCCGCCCCGTTATGTTATGGAAGAATTGAACTTCTTTGCTGGGCTGGTTATTCAGAGCCAGCAATTGGCTGCCGGATTTCGTCCTGCAATGAGGCAGATCGCTTCGGGGGGTCTCACTGTGGCGTGGCTGAATGTAGAGCAGTCCGCCCCTACAGCGTTTGATCAGTAGATTATTTAGAACTTCGGAAGATGGTCAAGGTACGAAGTGACAAGCCACTGCGCTAGATGCGCATGTGGTCGTAGTAGTTGGCTGGCCGCCTTTAAGTGAGTTGGGGGCATCCACCGAAGATGGCAGCGGGAAAGACGGGAGCACAAACGAGGTAGCTTATGCTTTTTTTTCATCCTCACTACCCGGTTTATAGTCGAATCTGGAGAATATGAACTTATCGCATTCTTCTTTTTGGTACGTTGCTATGAGCAGCTCTGGTGCTCGATCTTGGGTCTTAGGTGTGGGTCGAATCATGATAAAGAAGGTTCGGTGGTTGTATAATTCCCAAGCGGAAAGTCGTCTACTTGCAAAGTAGATGGAGTGATCAAGCGGCCCTTCCTGCGCCAACATACATCCAATGGCATAGAGTTAAGCATCAGTATTAACATGGAACTCCTTATTTCCATCCGGAAACCGAAGGATTGGGGCTGACAGCAAACACTCATCTGCATGCTTAAAGGCTTAATCCTGTTCCGGTCCCCAACCGTTATACCTTTCTTCTGCACCATTCCGCGCTTCGAAAAGTGTTTAATGATGCGTCTGTAATAGCCCATGTGTCCCCAAAAAGAACGTGCTACGCCCGGCCCCCTTTCAGTAGATGAGATTAGGATGAAAGGGCTTTCTTTCATTAACATTCAGTGAAGGTGCATAGCTTCTTTGAATGTCCCGCTGATTGACTACTACATCTAGGGACGGGACTGATCCCGAAAGAGAGGTCTTTCTTTCTGGTTATGAAATCGCTTAGATTGAAAAGCAAGTCGATGATGCCATAAATCAAACGGGCGGGTGAGGCGAGAGTCCTTCACTGCACTCACTGGAGAGAAGGGATCATCTCCAATCTAGTTGTAAGGTCTTATCCCCTTATTAGTAGCCGAAGTGTAGGCGGGGTAATAAAGGAGAAAACTTTTAACAAAAGCATCGGAATACTCGAAAATGTTTAATAAGCGTTAGTCGACCTCCGGAGGACAACAATTTGCTTTTCCAATCTGAGATTCTCTTTTTCATTTTCTCCAGTAGAAGAAGGCTATGTTCTCTCTTTATTCTCTTGAGGGACAAGGGAACATCCAGGTACTTGATAGGAAAACTACAATTTTTGATTCCTCTTCAATGATCTGGAATTTCTGCTAGGAGCTCTGTTCGAGAGGAAGCACTGGCTCTTATCGAAATTGACCTTTTGGCCATTACAATCAGCCTCTTACGTATTTCCAGAAAGATTTTCAGCTTCTTAAGATTCCGTTTATGGCCATTATATAATATTCTAACATCGTTCGCAAAGAGAAGGTGGGAGAGTGCTGGGCACGATCTCGAACCATGGTAAGGTGTTATCATTTTCAATGATACCAACTCCTGTAGGCCCCAGCTTAGCACTTCTTCAGCTAAAATCAAGAGGCTAGGTTTGGAACCCCTGTCGCAGCCCTCGAGAAGCTGGAAAGTACCCATGTGGCACACCATCCACAAGCACTCCAAAGTTTTCATTACATAAACATCCATGTATCAAATTCCGCCATTTATCACAAAACCCGAAATTTTGTTTGTCATTACCCCCAAAAAGCCCATTCGATCCAAAAAGATGCTTTTGCCATATCCTGAGTTTTTTTTACCCCCCTCCCTCCTATTAAGCCTTTCGGTTTAAATCCCCTATCACTTAAAGCCACCTCGTGAGCCAAGGAGATCTTCTCTACAATAGTTAGTCCTTTAACAAAAGCTCCTTGTTCCTTAAAAATGATTCTAGGTAGAATCCAACTCATTCTTCGAGCTAGAGAAAATTTTTTAGAAAAAGTGAGAAAGCTCTCCTTCAAATATCCCATAAATAAAGGTAGGTCGGAATTGGTGAAAATGTGAAGGACTTTCGACTTTCGGAATAAGGGCAATGAAATTCTAATTCAAACGTCAGGGCGCCGAAGGCGCCTTCAGCAAAGAAATTGTGAACCGCCCTGACCAGGGCGTCTTCAATAATCTTCCAACAGTGAGAGTAAAAAAAAAGACCTGGGAATCCATCAATTTAAAGGATAGGAGAGGCACAGCCCCCAACCAAGGGAGTGGTTACTTCCAGTATGTCCCCCCTTATTCCCGGCATGCTGCCCCGGGGCCGGAATGCGGTAGGGTCTTCAAGCCCCACGCTCGATTCTCGAGATTCATGGGCCGTCTCGCGAAGATCTTCGATCTGAACCTTCGCATCTACTTTATCTTAGAAGATGAACCACGCCTTCGCGATCGCCCCTCGTGCTCAACCTCGCTATCGCATTGATTCTTTCCGGCCCTTCCAGATTCCAATTCCTTATTGAGATCGAGATCTTGTTCCATTAGACCCAGTTCGGTCAGATTAGTTCCATAATATAGCTTGCCCGGACCGGACTTTCAGTGTTTGGTCGGGCCGGCCTAATGAATGATCATTGTTCGGGAACAAAAGAATAAGACTTAAGGGTTTCGCTATCGCAAGAATATAGCGATCGAAGAGCTATCGCTCAGCTGCTTCGCGTATTACGAAAGCCGTATTGCCCGAAGGGGGCATGCTGCAAGAGCGTAGGTGAGTGATAAGCGTAGGAGGCGTGCCCGAAGGGCAGCGGCAGCAGTGTGGTTCCAGGTGCCGTCGCTAGATTGAGATCTGCAGGGTGGCGGGGACTTCGACTGCCTTGTCTCAGGTGAAGAGAAGGGGGTGGTAGGCTTAGTAGGGCTCGAACCTACAATATAACCGTTATGAGCGGTACGTTTCAACACATGAAAACCTATAAGCCCCTACGGATTCTCTACATGCAATTTGACTCACTTCGCGGTAGAGAGGAGCAAGCAAAGGGTTTGGAGAGGCCCTTTGCTCTATCTGCTTCTGGCCTCTGCCCAGGGAATGCCCAATTAGATAAAATAATGATTTTTATTATTGTTATAGATGATAATCTATATATCATTATTTAGAATAATAAGAAAATAAAGCAAGGCTTGGTCCTTCGCGACTCAAACTGCCGTACGCTTTCCGGCTCGCAACGACCTTAAAATGGGCGGGGGGGGGCTCTCTATTGCTTGCAAGGCCGGCTGTTCGCGTTTCTTTAGTTAGAAGTAGAAGTAGAGGGCGCCGTTTGCCCCACACTTCAGAAAAAGTAAAAAAGTATGAGTATGAATGAAGTAAGAAAAAGTACATAAGGAGTGAGAAAGAAAAACTTGGTTACGGGAACCGAAGGTTAGGCCGACTACTTTAGTATAGCTATACCTAAAAAAGTGTTTTCCTACCCCTTCCCCTTTCTGTCAATGTTGCCAATTCCCAGAATACTAATGTACCCTCGTGTATACAGTTGCCCAACAACTTTCTTCCTCCGACTTCTTTAGCCACTTCCGCATCTGTCGTATTCGGGAGAGCTTGCTTCGTGGCGGAGCATTTAGCAATGTTTTTGCCTCCTCGCGAAGGAAAGTCAGAAGGTAAAAGAGCGGTAGCCGGGATCAGGCAATCGGAGTGGAAAGCCAAAAAGAGTGAATTTACCGGGAACAGCTTTTCAGTTCCTAACCCGCTTTCAGCCAAGTCAACAGATTCGGCTTAGGTAAGACAGCCCCTTACCTTACAAGGAGTCGGGGAAGAAAGAAGCAATACAGTCGTCAGGCAATGGAAAAAGTCCGACTAGCCTATTAAGTAGGTAGAGGAGGGTGAAAAGAAGTAGGCAGCGAATGAGAGCTGAGAGCGATAGCCGGGGGAGGACAACAACTGTGAAGAAGTCGGTGATAGGTTCTTCGTCGATGGCTTGGTAGCCGATGAAGGCCCGGCAAGTCAAAGAAGTCGGCTTAGGTAAGAGAGGACCTTGCTTCAGAGGCGGAAGAGAGTGATGTCGATCCTGTGGAAATATAGGCCCTTGAGACGTCTACCTGCGCTCAGTCATTCCATTTGGTAATATATCCCGCTTTGGTTTTGTGCCAGCCCTTGTCTTTTAGGCCGAATACTCTTCACCGATCGGTAAGCCGGCAAGGAGAAAACATGCCTTCGAGAAGGCAAGGAAGTCACTGAGGGAAGGGAACTAATTGGCCCAATCTGCGCCTAGGTTCAAACAAGTAGCTGAAAAGTCCGGTAACTAAGCAAGCTTCAAAGCAAGAAAGGCAAAAGGCTCAGCTCAGGCAGAGCTCTACTCTAGGGCTCGGGTCTGGTTCAAAAGGCAAGGTTGGTTCGAGAAGAAATCGTTCCGACTAACTGGCATTCATGTTTCATTCTTTCTCTCTTGTTTCAGCTGCTATCTGGCTTCCTCTTTTAGGCCTCTCCACTTTACTTTGCCGGGAATTCCTCCAATTAATCTATCCCTCCCACAGCGGTAATGCCACTAGCTCTTCTCAGCAGGCAAGGTTTTTGATATTCAATCAAGCAAGCCCAAACTGGCTCAGAAGGAAGGCAAGCTGCAGAAGGCTTCGGGTAAAGAGAATACGATTAACCGATCGGGTAGGAATCGAGAAAGAATGTAATTCTTTAGTACGTTTTTCTACAGGGCTTAGTCTTTAACCGGCTTGAATTGAAGCGGGTTCGGGCTAACTAAAGTAGTCGGCTGGGTCAGGGAATGCAGTGGAACATGAAAGAAGGGTTTTGATCGGCTCTTTTAGACCGGAGTAGGGCGTCGTAGGCTAAGAAAGGCAAGCGCCTAGGTGAAAAGTAGTCGGTTCAAGCTCAGTGGTTGGCTCGATCGGGCGAACTCTAAGGGTTGGCTGGTTGGAAGGCAAGGAAAAACAAGCTGGGTCAGCTAATCACATAAGCAAAGGAGTTTTTTCTGCAGTAAAATGCCGCCTCTTTTAGGCCGAGGAAATCTTACTTAAGAAAGGAGAGTGGCCGAGCAAAAAAGCAAGGCAAGGGATAAAGGAGAAGTACCCGGCCCGGCAAAGAAGGGTCTCCCATTAAAAGGTTTTTCCTTAGTAAGCTAGCTTTGTAAGCTAAGCAAGCCAGGTTCTATCAAACCAGACTATTTCACTCCTGGAATGAGCCTTTTGGCGACTCTCTC